TTTTTTTGTCTGGGGCCGGGTTTGAACCTGTCCACCTCCGGTATATGGGGCTGGCGCCCTACTCCTTTGAGCCACAGGTGCTGCCCCCCCCCATTTTCTTCAGGTTAATATAAAGGTATAAACCATTAGGTTACATTGTTTGCCTTTGTTAGGTAAAGTCCAGGAGGTGTGTCCCACTCCCCCACACTGTGCCCATCAGGTGAGAGCACGCCAGTCCCTCTGTCTCCTTCCTTTCTCCTTCCCTGCCCCTCAATTGAGTTTGTGTTTTTCTCTCTTGTGGGCATGTAGTTGTTCATCCATTGGTTTCATGTTAGTATTGAGTTCATTGGATACTTGCTTTTCCACTCTTGTGATACTCTACTTAGAAGAAATGTTCTACAACTCTATACAGGTTAATAATATGAAAGATGTAAAGTCTCCCTGTTTCTTTATGGCCAAATAGTACTCCATGGTATACATATACCACAGTTTATTAATCCATTCATGGGTTGATGGGCACTTGGGCTTTTTCCATATCTTTGTGACTGTAAATTGAGCTGCGATAAAACATCCTAGTGCAAATGTCCTTATGGTAAAATGACTTTTTTTTCCTTCTGAGTAGATACCTAGTTCTTTTAGGTCTTTGAGGATTCTCCATACTTCTTTCTAAAAAGGCTGCATTAGTCTGTAGTCCCACAGCAGGGGGTGTTTCCTTCTCTCCACACCCACACCAGCATCTGCAGCTTTGTCCATTATTTGTTATTATATTTTGCAGTCTTTTTTTTTTTTTTTTTGGCCAGGGCTGGGTCTGAACCTGCCACCTCCGGCATACGGGGCTGGCACTCTACTCCTTTGAGCCACAGGCACTGCTCTATTTGTTATTATTTTTTAAATCCCAGTATAACTTCTACAATGTCGCAAAAGAAAACAGAAGCCCCCCCACAAGAAAAATTACAGATGAAACAAGATTGTTCAATGAAAAGTGAACAGATGATTACTTTTCTGTCAAGGCAAACAGTAAGGTACTCTGTTTAAGTTGTAGAGAATTTTTGCAAGTTTTTGAAGACTATAATTTGAAAAGGCATTATATGCAAAAACACACTGCCAAACCTGATACATGAGAACGATTGTGATATAGGACAGAATAGAACTGAAAATAAAGACTGTATTTTCAAAAAATATTTTTAAAAAAGTTATAGCTCAGATTCCATTGTAAAAGTTAGTTATATGATAGCATATTTAATAGCAAAAAAAAGAAAAACCAACCAGTTACTGATGGTGAGTTTGTTAAGCAATGTATGGAAAGCATGGCAGATATGATTTGCCCTGAAAAAAGTGGGATTTTTTTTTTTTTTTTTGAGACAGAGCCTCAAGCTGTCACCCTGGGTAGAGTGCTGTGGCATCATAGCTCACAGCAACCTTCAAGTCCTGGGCTTAAGTGATTCTCTTCCTCAGCCTCTTGAAAGTAGCTGGGACTACAGGTGCCTGCCACAATGCCCGGCTATTTTTTGGTTGCAG